CACTTAGCCGAACTAATAAGCCCCACAACAATTGCTGCCTGTTGTGGCTGTTGTTGTGGCTGTTGTTGTTGTTGTTGCTTTTGTTTGGCATTTGCAGTTGCAGCGCTTTAATGACAAAACACGAGTTCGAGAAGGCATTGTGCGCTAGCTTCTCTGTCTCTTCCTCCCCCTCCCTCTCTCTCTCACTCTCTCTCTCTCTGTGTCTCTTTGTCTGCCGTAGCTCCCCGTTGGGACAGGGTGTCAGCGTTGTTGCACAGTGAAATCTTTGTGCCTCGCCTGACACTTGGCAGGCACGTCGTCCTGGAAATTGGAGTAGGTTTGCATGTCAGCAGCAACAGCAGCGAAACTGCCCCAGCCCCGCCTCCTGCTCGCGCCACCCACCAGCCTGGGCACAGCGTAGTTCCGTTCCGGCTTAGTTCGGCTCAGCTGTAGGCAGTCCGGTACGCGCTGACTGGGTTCGGTTCCGTTCAGTTCCATGTGGACTGTCACTTTTTGTCTGCTTTTCAATTTGCTCCTGGTCGGGCCACCACTTGGATCTAAGCAATGCCGATCATCGGGGCATTCGCAATGTGTTTGGTCGTACATTAGAGATATTAATTGACTTGGAGCTTCCACTTGCGTGACGTTGTCAAGAGCCAAGCTCTGGTATGATGAGTTGCCACTGAATCTGGCGACGACTTGATGAGGTCTGTGGCACAATAAAAATGTTTGTCCATATGCTAGAAACTAGATTGAATTGTTGGAATGTGATTTCGCAACTTTAACCAGCCAGGCTTTAGCTAATAGCTATGAAGAGCATTGCCCCAACTTCTTTTTTAACAAATTGTAGTTGGCCTCCTGCTGGAGTGCTTCATAAGGATATCAGGCATTCGTTGTCGGCCCATTCATTATTTGTATTCCTGTTGTTGCTGTTGTTGTTGTTGCAACTCTGAGCTTTCGGCTTTCGACAGCTTCAAATCAAACATAGTTTGCCATTGACTGTCATTGCGTGGCACGCACGCAACGTTTGCAGTTGCAAGTAGCAAGTTGCCAGTTGCAAGTTGCAAGTTGCGACTTCCTGCAGGCTCTGCCGCCTCACTGCGCCGCCAGCAGCTGCAAGCGAGTTGAGTCATGTTGTTAATTGTGAATGGGAAGCGAGTGTGTTGCTGTTATTGTTGTTGTTGTTTGCCGCATAATTGGCCTTGCTTTTGCTTTTGCTGTTGCTTTTGGTAAAAATTGAGTCATTAGGCGGTCAGAGCGAGGAGCGAGCAATCAGCAATCAACAGGCGAGCGCAACGCAACGACGCAACAACAAAGACCAAACCCCATTAGCCGATCAAAGCATCTTTAAGAGTCAATTTCGTGGCTTAGCATGCACATGCACATACAGATATACACAGCAATGTATATGTACATATATGCTTACATATGTATGTATGTATATGTACTCACATACATAGAAATGTTTGCTCTAAATGATGATCGGGCTTAGCGAAGCGCGTGACTAAGTTGCAACTTCGGAAGCATTTATCATGACGATGGCCAGCTGCCTCCGCCTCCGCCTCCGCCTCCGCTACCGTCCCCTCCCCTCACCACTGCCTCCGCCTTTGCCCTCACCTCAGACTCAGGCTCATCATGGCATGTGCTATGAATGATGATTAGAGCTGAGCTGCAATTGCTGTGTGTGGGCGATGTGGGCGGGGTCGCAGTTGTGCCAGAATGCCATTTAATGTTAACAAATTCATTTTTGGCGACAAACGGAAACGGAAACATTGCAGAGCTCAGTCGAACCGGGGACTGTAGTTGAGCGAGACAGAGAGAGAGAGAGAGAGAGAGAGAGAGAGAGAGAGAGAAAAGAGATAGAGATACCATGCCATATAGCCATTCACGGCTGCGTCGCCCTTTGGCCATGGCGAATGTCCATCAGTCAAGCGGTAGGCAGGCCCTGCTGTCCGCCTGTCCCCATCCCCACTCTTGCTTCTTGCATCCTGTCCTGGCCTGTCCGGACTCTCCAGCCACTGATAAACGCACGTCACACGTCAGCTCTGGGTAGTCCGAGTCCTTTTGCCTTTGTGGATTGATGGCTGGACAGATTGAACATAGCACGTTGTTGTTGTTGTTGTTGTTGTTATTGTTGTTGCTGTTGCTTGGCTCTGATGGACGTTTAATATGCGTTTTAGACAAGGATATACCTCACAGTTCACAGCAGTGCAATGCCTGCCTGCCTGCCTGCCTGGCTGGCTGGCTGCATGGCTGCATGGCTGCATGGCTCGTTGCATGGCCTTCGGCACCGCTGCCGCCCGCCATTGCCCAGCCAGTGCGTGGCTCGTTTTGCAACGCCTGTAAATGTATTTGGGCACCGAATTCGTCATGGCCAGAGATGTTGGTCAGCTGCAACAACAACAACAGCAGCAGCAGCAAGAGTAACAGCAACAGCAACAGCAACAACAGCAACAATAGCAACAGCAACAGCAACATGCGCTCTATAGCATTGTTTTGTATTAAATGCTATCATGCTGCCGTGTCCGGGCCACATCCAACGTTGCACGTTGAACGTACCATCGCATATTGTTCCTATGAACTCGGCTCGTTGTTCATAGTTTGTGCGTTAATGCCCCAAACCTCCGGCCTCCTCCAGTTGCCCGTTGCTCGTTGCTCGTTTCTTGAGGCTAGTCGTAGGTGTGAATGCGCGCACATGTGTCGAACAAAGGCGCAGTCAACCACCCACCTACCCCACCTGCCTGTGCTGTGTTCAACCCCTTGCTCACTCCCCTCCCCTCGGTACCCCGCCCTGCTCCACCAGCTACAGTCCACGCACACGAGCCACAACATCGAGCATTTCAAGTGTGGAGCCGCTTAAGGTTCCCGTTCGAAGCTGGAGCTGGGGCTCTGCTGGCAAACAACAGACACGCATGTGCATGTCCACAACATTAATAATGTTGCCCCGATATTAGCCACGCATATTAACTTTCCCATGTGTCGGTGTGTGTTTCGAGACGCCTATTGTTGTTATGGCTGTGCATGCCTATCTATATATACATATATGTGTATGTGTGTGTGTGTGTGTGTGTGTGTGAGTGTGTTTATGTTTAAGGTAACGATTTAAGATGTAATGTGCACACTTCCTAATTGCTGCTGCTTGTGTTATTGCCAGCCCAAATGTGAAATCAAATGAAATGTATCTTTAAGATACGAATACAGGGAAGTGTTTTTCCAAAGATACAAAAGTAGCTGAGAACTAGGAAATGCCATCAGAGCTATACGAATTATATTAGATAGTATCAATTAAGAGCTACAAAAGTATTTGATAAAATAATAGCGATTAGCGCGTTGCAAAAGTATCTTAGACTTAACTCTGAGAGAAATAATATTAAATAATATCAATCAACAGATAAAAAAGTATCTGCGACCTATTAAATGCAACCACAAGACTATTCTCATTGCTGCTATGGACAACATGAAATTGTATCTAATATAAAATACAAACGTAACTTAGATATATTGAACGTAATTTTGTTTTAAATAATATTTAAAAGATTCAAAAGTATCTGAGAGCTATTAGTTTTTTATATGATATGCAGAAAATATCTTTTAGCTACAGATACTTTTGTGTATGACATATGAAATAACGTGGTTGTTAGCCCAGAGCGCGAATATCTATAAATAGAAACTCTAGAGCAACTGCAATGAATAAAAATATATTTAGATTTTTTTTTTTTCAGTTTCATAAAAGACGGCAAGTATTTTTACATAATTTTTTATTTCCATATCTCTTCCTTTCATCAAGGTTTTCTTTTCATCGTTTGTAGTAGCTTTTCTGCTTTTACCTTTTGTTTTGTTAACAATTTTGTTTTTTTTGTTTTTTTTTTTTTTTTTGCTTTGTTTGTTTATTATTGATTTGCTTGGCTTCTCCAACTATCATCTAAAAGATTCTCCATGATAAACATACGGATGTCCTTATGCTTCTTCTAGTGGTTGTTGTTGCTCTTGTTGTAGTTGCTGTTGTTGTTGTTGTTGTTGCTGTGTTTGCATCAATTAATAAACTTACGCATTAAGCTAACACTAAATACTTTTTACAATAATAATAATAATAATAATAATAATAATAATGATAATAATAATAATAATTATATCAATAATAAGTGTAATAGGGTGATGCGGCCCAGGCCCAGCTTCAGTTCCCGGGGCCAATCCATAATAATATCAATTGAAAACTCATATCGTTAGCTGGATTCATTTTATGTTTTCTATATATATATATAATTTTTTTTAGAGATATATAGAAATTTATATTTGTTTTATAGCTGTTCTTGCATCTGCTTTCGGCTTCTCCTTAGATTTTGCATTTTTGTTTGTTTGTTTGTTTTTTTTTTTTTTTTAATTTTTCTTTTATTTTCCTTTTAATATATATAATATTATATATATATATTTTTTGCTAGTTTTACATTTTGATATTACATTTAATTAGCATTTTCAAATATTGTGTGTGTTTTTTTATATATATTTTTGCTTTATTTATCATTCATAGATTTGTTTATAATAAATTATGTTGCTTAAAAGCTAGGACCACAAAAAAAAAAAAAAATAGTTTACTATGTGTGCTGTTTTATATAGCTTTACATACAATATATATATGCATACGCCTTTCCTTTTTATATATATATACGTCTTTTTATATATTCCGTTTTTTTTTTTTTTTTTTTTTTTTTTTTTTTGTATACACATATATATGTATGTATATATCGAAATATATATGTATATATATTCATATATATATGAACTTAGTGGCTAGAAAACTACACAAGTACATGCCTAGTTACGTTTATGTTGTTAGACAACGATTATAAAATATGTTTATTTATATATGTTTTTATATAATTAAAAAAAAAAAAAAAAAAAATATTAGACAAACAAATTTGTTTTTAATTATAAAAAATGTGCTAATATACAAAAAAAATATTTATATTTTGTTTAGCGCTTTTTTCCACTTTTAAAAAATTTTTCTTTTTGCTTGCTAACACGATTTTTAGGCTACGTATTTGTGATTTTGTTTTTAATGTTTTTCGTTTTATTTTTACTGTTTTATTTTTATACACACATACACATAAATAGTTTATTACAGACAAGACGTTTAGTAATGTGTTTTACTTTTTTACTTTTACATTTTTAGCTTTTCCTTGCATTAGTTAGATTAATAATAATAAAAAAAAAAACATTTATATATTTATATATATAAATATTTATAGATATATATAGCTTTATGTGCAGCGCCCATTCAATGTACATTTAGAGATTTTTGTTTTGTTTTGTTTTGTTTTTGCTTTGTTTTCGCTATAAATTTTTAAAAATAATTTACAAATATTTTGGCGCAGTCGTAAAAAAAGAAGACTAAAACAATAAACAGAATAATAATAAAAACAACGAAACCAAAGCTGAGCAGCTGTTTTTGGCCAAAGGCAGCGCATTTTGGTTTATGGGCTAGGCGTTGCGGCGGGGGTGCGGGGCAGGGCCAGCCAACGACGACGAGACTTCTCCTCATTTGAATTGCGAGAGAGCGAGCGCGCAATGCAGCAGCCCTCTCGCTCGTATACGACGCGTGCTGCTTACGAGTCGCTAGTGTGGCGGAGCGAGATGGCAATAGTGTACGCGCAGTGGGCGGCGGCAGAGACGACGACGACAACGACGACGACGACGACGACGACGACGCGACGACGACGCGACGAAGCTTTGTCATTGCTGCTGCTGTTGTTGTTGTTGTGGTTGCTGTTGTTCTGGCTCTAGCTGCTACTCCTCCTCGTATTGTTGTTGCTGTTGGTGGTGCTGCTGCTGCCGCTGCGTGTAGGTCTTGAGAAACAGCAGGCGCGTTGCCAACTGTTTTGTATATTACCAAACAAGCCCTTCATTTTGCATATTCTGCGGTTCGCTGAAGTTCGCCGAGCTCATGAACTCTGGAGATGCGGTGCGCGGGCCATTTTGTTGTTGCTGCTGTTGCGTTTGGCTTGCTTGTTGCGCATTCTGGGCCGCCTGCTGCTGCTGCTGCTGTTGTTGCTGCTGCTGCTGTTGCTGCTGCTGCTGCTGCTGCGCGGCCGCCTGTTGCAGCAAGTGCTCGGCGGCATTTGGCGGTGGCGGCGGCGGCGGCCCCACAGCCGTCTGCAGCTGCATTGGCGGTGCGCCCGCCTGACTCAGAAATGTTGACTCGGGCGTCAGGCCAAATTCGTTCACCATCGGTATGGGACCACTGTGATCCATTGGCCCACCTGTTTGATTCCAGAAAGAGAGCGAGAATAAAAGAGAGAGAGAGAGAGAGAGAGTGTTAGATATTTGAGCATTTTTTACAGTTTAATTTGTATATATCTTTAATTCTGAGTAAATAGAATTATTTATTATAGGAATTGAAGAGATTAAAGAATTTATTTTTGACTGATTTATTTTGACTGATTGCTGCCAGAAAATTAAAAATCGTTTTAATACTTTTGTTTAATAGAAAATAAGGTGAGTTTTGAGTATATGGAATGTATTTCTATATTCTAAGATTATTTAAAATATTTATTTCTTTTCGAATAACTTTTATTTTATATTATTCTTATCATTATTATTGTGAAATATTTGCGTATCTCTTCAAATAGTTAAAGTTCGTTTGTAATTACAAGTTGGCAAAAAAAAAAAAAGGGTAGGCCATTAAATTAAAATATGCCTAAACTAAATTTAGTTTATCTAAAGAATTAAACATTAATTAAAATACAATTTCTAATTTATATGACTTCAGTTAAATATTCATCTAGAGATAAGCTCAAATTGAATGCCTTTTCAAAACTAACTTATTCAGCCGTTGAATAATATTGTAGATAGTATTGTATTATTGGTAATATATCATGTTATGGCTATATTACCTGGCGCATTGAAGGGCATCGGTCCGCCGGGATGGCCGGGAAAGAATGGGCCGTCGTGCGGATGGAAGGGCCCGCCGTAGCCAAACTCGAATTTAGCGTCTGCAGCAAAGTAGGGAAAGCCGGGTCCATCGTCTAGCCCGCCCGGCGAGAGATTCATGGGAAAGCCGCGCATCTTGCGCGCGCCGCCAAAGAACGGCGGACGGCCCATGCTGGTGATTTGCTTCATGCGACGCTCCTTGGATCGCTTGTTCTGGAACCAGACCTGCGGATAGATGAGCGGAGAGTGAGCAATGTTATATGTTGGATGTTGCTTGTTGTATGTTGTATGTGGTATGGCCAGTGTGTCAGTCAGTCAGTTAGTCAGTCAGTTAGTCAGTCAGCCACCCCCCCCTCCCCTTTGCGACCCCCCTCCAACTGTTTGTTTTGTTGTTGTTGCATTGATGCTACCGCCAGCCACACCGGGCGGCCGTTGCAAAATTAGCCCTAGCCTCGGTCCCAGCTCCGCTCTGTACAGCGGATCGGGGCATTTTACGAGGTTCTGCATCGTTTCGGGTGCTCCAGAAGCACCGTGCACAGCATGCCAAGTAATAAAATAAAAACATATTTCAAAATTTTTAGTGGCACCTTTTCGCATTTCGCTTTTTGCCCAGGCCGCGCTTTGTCTCCTTTTTTTTTTTCTTTTTTGGTTTTTGGTTTTGGGCTCATCGCTTTTAATATTTTGTGTTGTTGTTTTTATTTTTTTATTTTTTTTCATTTTTTTTTGTACTTTTTGGCATTTTAATATTCATATCTTGGACGCGTTTTTAATGATCTTCTGCTGGCGGTCAACGAAACTGTTTTCAACTCGGACTTGAACTGATTTCTGTGCTGTGCTCTTTGCATTTTAGCGATGGCAAAGTTTTCTCAATGAAATGATTTGATTTATGTGTTTGGTTTTTGTGTTTTTCTTCCTTTTTCAGCTTGCTGTATTCTGTGTGTCCTTTCCGTCCATACGTCCGTCCTTTTGTCCGTCCTTCCGTCCGTCCGTCTGTCTGTCTGTCTGTCGTTCTTTATATATTTTTGGCAAATAGTTTCCAATGAATTTGGCTTAGATTCTGCGGATTCAGCGTCTGGGGGCCTGGGCTATGGCCATGCAGCAGCATCATCAGCAGCTGTTGTTCCCGTTCCCGTTCTAAGAGGCAATTTAAGCGTGAATTTTAATGATGAGCGCCGACGTCGCCGTCGCCGTCGCCGTCGCCGTCGTCTGCAGTTCATTTGAATTTCTGAGCATTTTTATGAACTCAACTCGGCCGAAACCTACGCCAGCCACAGCCACAGCATAGACATGCATATCAGCTGGGGTGCTCTGTCCCAGCCACTGCCCCACACACACACTCTCCACTCTCCTCTCCCCACTCCCCACTCCCCACTCGCCACTCTTCACTCAAGAAACTGACATTTTGTGGCACAACGAGCACACATTTCACTAGAAAAGCCTTTCGGCCTGTGAGAACTCCAATTTGAGCATTGAGTGCGGCTGTCGGCGCACAGGATGCACACAAAAGGAAGTAACACGCTGTGCATGGCCTGACACCCAACCTGGCCACAGGCTCCAGCTCCAGCTCAGATCAGCGTTTGACATTAAGTCCGAGTCCGTGTCGAGCAGTTGGTCAAGCGTGTGACTCTCCTGACAGCAGCGCTGAGCTCGAATCTGAGTCGGAATTTGGCTTTAACATTGACTTTGACTTTGACTTTGAGTGTCGGCTGAGCATTAGCCACATTCATGGCAGGCAAGAGCTCGCAATGAACTGGAACTAGTTCAGTTGGATATTGATGAGCTGCAGTGGATCAATTTGCGGATAAAATTTGAGCTAGTTCAGTTACTGCACTGACGACAAAAAGTGTATAAACACTAAGAGGAACTGGTTCCTTTTATGATGATGAGCTGGAACTAGTTCAATTGGCTTTCAGCGTAATAAATTAGATTTGCATATATACAAATATAGATTTGAAAGCCTATGTGCTGAGCATATGATGAATTTGAACTAGTTCACTTCACTAACCACGGATCGCTGCAAAAATTTGATAAGTTTTTTTGCTAAGCAGGTTCCATTTATGCTCATAAACTGGAACTAGTACACATTCACATATTTATATATAAGTATATGTATGTGGATTTAAAAACCTATACTAGTTCCATTTACTGCACTGAGCATATGATAAACTTGAACTAGTTCACTTTCCCAACTACAGATCCCTGCTAACTTGATGACTTCTTTTGGCAAACACTAACAGGAAATGGCTCCATTGCCATTAATGAACCGGAACTAGTTCCATTTCGTTTTTTTGCTTGTGTTTACTAGACGTCACATTTCAATTACTTGGAAACCGCAAGATAATAAATAAAACCGCATAGCTGCAGACCCTGCACCCGCATTGGCCATCGCCCAAGGCAAGGTACGTGGCACACACACACACACATACATATGTAAGTGCGTGTGTGTTTGTTTGCTTTATTTTTGCTATTTGCCCCTTCTGGTCCCTGCGGTCACACAATTTTTCATTTTCATATGCGCAACAACAATGAAAATAAAGGAAAACTAAATTGAGCGAAATACAAACTAGAAAATGGGCAGCGAATGGGGGCAGGGCCAGAGGGTGGGCAGGGAAAACAGAAGCAACAACTCTTTTCTAAAATATGCATTTACAATAGTTTGTTATTTGGTATTTGTTTTTACCGCAATGTTTCCATTCTTCTTTTTTTTTTTTTTTTTTTTGCAATTTAGCTGAAGCTTTAGTATTTTCTGTTTTTTTTTTCTCCCACGTTTTTTTGTGCTATTGTTTTGCTGCTCGACAAAGAAAAACAGCAACAAATGGCAAAGAAAATGGAGGAAAGCGAATGAAAAAAGAAATAGAATAATGGCAACTGTGTGTGGGCGTTTAGAGTGGAAAATGGTGGGCGCAGTGGGCGGGGCGGGGCACTCAATGGAGTGCGCTTAACAGTCATCGACCGAGCTATAGCTAGAACCAGATCCATTATGAACAGCGCACAGAAATATGTTTATACTCTATTGAAGCTGCATGGAAATTGAATGGCTTGGGAATGGATGTAGCTCGTTATACTTCGAAGCCATTGAAAATGGGCGTGGCCATTGAATTTGTGTGTATTTGACGGAAGGAGGCGTGGCATATCCAGTACAGTATTATATAGAGGCTATATATAGAGAGAAAGATAAGGATCAACAGCCAAGTCAATCTAGCTATGCTCGTCGGTCAGACCGTCCAGCCTTCTGTTCGTCTGTCAGTTCGTTCATCCCTCAGTAGGCTGTCCGTCCGTCTGTTTATCCGTCAGTGTATTCGTCTATCTATCCTTTTGTCTGTTCATCTGTCTATCCGTCTGCCCATTCGTTCGTCACTTCGTCTGTCTGCTCGTTTGTCCGTCTCTCTGCACATCCGTCCTTCTGCTCGTATTTCAGAACCTTAAAGCCTCAATATAAAAAGCTCTTAAGAGTAATGCCCCACTATAAAGACTATGGTATAAAGCCAATGCCACTTGAGTTCTTCTGTAACTGTCTTACATATGTATATATTAAAGACATGGATATAGATCCAGCTTAGTTCTGATGTCTCTCCAAGTTCTGCTTTAGGGACTCGCCATATTTCAAGGTTCACTAAAGAATATTCCAACTTCAGCATATTCCATCATTTATTTCCTATACATTATACACTTATACATATGTTTTTAAAATTTCCCTTAAGAACCCTTTGCAAATTGCGCTCCTTATTTCGTCTGTCTGTGTGCGTCTGTGACTGATCGAACTTTAATTTTGAGACTGGCTATCTGATCCTGACGTTCGACGTGCGCCTCACAAGAGCTCTCTGGGCTATGCTGTGTTCCGATATGTTATGATATAATATGATATAATGCGCTGCCAGCCAAATTGTTGGCCGTTTTGCGGTAATTTGGACAGCGCTTATAATATTTTATTTCCGCACTTGAGAGCGGCAATTGGGGAAGTTGGGAAGTCGGCCTGTTGGGCTGCCGGGCTATGGGGCACTGGGGCTGTCGGGAACGAGGCGCAACAAGAGATGAGAAATTTGTTTTCAATTTCGTGTAGCTTTCAACAAATTTGTTGTTTGAGGCGCAGGCGGCGGCCAAAGCTGCGGCCGGGTGCGACGGGGCGGCACTGCTCGCAAAACATTTGAACATTTAGTTAAATTATAGGTTAGGCCCTGACATAAAAGGGCAAACAACGTAACATAATGGCCGTGGTAGCAATCAGGCTCTCAGTCCGCGCCCCCCTCGCCAAGCGAAACATAACAAAATGATTATTGCGCTTTTGACTCGCTCGAACGGACCAACTGGAGGGCAGACGATGGGGCGAGGGGGAGCGCGTGGGGGGCCGAAGTAGAGCCGATGGCAAGCTTGGAGGGTATGTGGATAAGGTGGCCCTGTTGTTGGCTGGCGGCTGCCACTTGGCAGCTCCTCGGCTCGGCGTTGTGTTGAAAATTATAGCAAATTATGTTAAACGGCAGCTCCTCGGCGCGGGTGGGGCTCGGGTTCGCCCCAATCGCCCCGCATTGGCCGCCGTTTACCCCCGCGCTGACCCCGCTCCGTGGCCCCATTAAAGAGCTTAACATATAATTTGTGCCAGCGCTCAGCCAAAAGTCAAAGTTGCTTCATTGTGACCCGTTTGGGCTCTGGGCTTCGATTTCAGTGCCTGCCCGCCACATTTGGGGGCATGCGGCATGCGGCATGCGGCATACTGCAAATGTGTGTCACGTATTCGCGCGCTGATTGACATGATTTGGCTGCGGCTCCATTTCCAATGCGATATATGAGCATGCGGCAATCAGCACTCGGCACTCGGCAATCGGCAGTCGGCAGTCGGCATATGAGCAATCGACCATTCGAGCATTTAGATTAAGATGCTCATCAGCGTTAACCCCTTGTTGCCGCCGGCTTTCAGCAGCTGCAACTGTATTGGTATGTCTACGATCGGATTATCGTTAATAGCTCACGTCAACTATGAACTATGAGCTAAATCCAATTTTTTTTCAGCATTAGTGCAACTGCTCTAGATTTTCTCTTACTCTCTCTCCCTCTCCCTCTCCCCCTGTCTCGGTGATATTTTATTTACTCTGCGTCTGCGTTAATGATACGTTTCTCTGTACAACTGTGTGCACTTGCGTTTCATTAGCTGATTTTTTGGGCTATTGTTGGCCCGGCTGGAACCTGCTGAGAGGCCGTGACTGGGCATTTCTCGTAGCGCCTGTCACGCC